CTATATATATATATATATATATATATATATATATATATATATATATATTGTTTATGTATATGGGCAGAATTCATAAATATAAATCTTAATTGATTTTCAATAATAATAAAATATTTATGTAATAGATCCTAGATAATTAGGACTTCAATTTTATTATTGTTGTTGCAACATATAAACTGTTATTACTTCAAAATACATCTTTAATGGGAGATGTATTTGTTCCTTCAGCAATATATAATGCTGATTTGAGAGAGAAGACATAATTTCTTACAACAGTTTTTTAACATTGGAGGAACATGTGACTAAAAGAGTAGAGGCTTTCTAATCATTTATCTAATTCCATTTGGTACATCAAAATTCCAAAAAATAGTAAATTGTTATATAAACATAGAATGAAAATGATCAAAAACACTATCCTAGTATCATATCAAATTCATAGATAAATTATAAATTTCTCCTCACATCATGATTCGAATCAAATCAAAACTGAATCGAAAATTATAAATTTGTTTAAGAATCGAAAATTATAAATTTCCGATTCTGAACTAGTTGTTTAAGAATCAAAATTGACGGTTTCGATTTAAAACATTAGTCACTTGTCATTCAATCAATAATATTTATAGATTGATAAAAAAAATTTGAGTAATATTAATTTATTTTTAAATTTTGTTATATGGTTTTGATAAAGTATTGACAAATACTATTTCTATTCCGGAATTATAAATAGTTTGTCAATTGTTTTTTATAGTGTCTTTTTTTTCATGTTAGATGCGTTTGTCATGTTTTAAATTTATGTGTACAAGATGGGCTTAGATATCTTAAAACCTTTCTTTTTAACAGAATTTCCTATAATAGTTTTTTAACATTGATAACGCATGAAGAAAATTTATTCTTACAAAATATAGAATTATTCTTTTAAGTTTGATAATGCATAAAAAATTATTCTTACAAAAAAAAAAAATCAAGGATCCTTAAGCTCAAACTTTGAGCTTCATATGTATCTAACAACTTCTTTTAAGTTTGACGATAGCTACGAGTATAGAATTTCCTATTCTTTTAAGTTATGATAGCTACAAGTATAGAATTATTCTTTCAAGTATAGAATTATGATAGTTACAAATAAAGAAAAATTATGATAGCTACAAGTATAGAATTATTCTTTTAAGTTTGATAATGCATAAAGAAAAATTATTCTTACAAAATAAAAAAAAATCAAAGGATCCTTAAGCTCGAACTCCGAGCTTCATATGTATCTAATGACTTCTTTTAAGTTTGATGATAGCTAAATTCTAGAATGATAAGCGCGATACACAACAACATTTGCAATCTTGACAAAGATCACCAAGTAAATACTAATGACTCCAACAATTGTTGTCAAGCAAGCGTTTAGTACAAAAAAAATGAATCCTAAATGAAACCATATCAAGCATCACCCCCCGATGAGAGCCCAAGCTTGTCTTAACGATTGTAAAAGGGCGATGAAACGAAAACAAAAGAACATCCGCGAAGAAAATGACATCCCCTTTGACCTATCAACAAAAGAGACTCTCGTATTTATAATTTAATTTAATTTTATATCAAATTATTTTCGTTATGTCTTTACACGTTTACATTCATTAAGTCATTATGGATGTACATCAAATTTTTTAAAAATTTAAAAATAAAATTATGATTTTTTTTCATATTATAAATTATTTTTAAAAAATATTAAAGCAAAAAAACATGACAATGATATAGCGTATTCCCAAATCTTGGTCAGGTCTACTAAAGCAAAAAAGCATGACAATGATATAGCGTATTCCCAAATCTTGGTCTGGTCTACTAAAGCAAAAAAGCATGACAATGATATAGCGTATTCCCAAATCTTGGTCTGGTCTACTAAAGCAAAAAAGCATGACAATGATATAGCGTATTCCCTAATCTACTAACACCAGACGTCGTCAATCTTATTTATATGGTTCACACACTTTAACTATGCAAAATGGGTGAATGGATAAGTTGCCATCCTTACAGTCTCAAATAAAAGAGACAGAAGGTTCACTTTCATAATGAAAAAAAGTCAACTATATATCTTGTTTTCTAAAAAAATTCTTGAACTCGGTACAGGTGATACGTATTGAGTCGACAATAGATCAATATGGATAATACTGATTCGACAATAGATCAATATGGATAATACAATAGTATGTCCCATCTTATCATGTGTCGGTACACTCAGTATGACTCGGTACGTATCATACCGATAGCTAGTCGATACACCGACATAGATCGATAAGATAAACCATTAGAGCATCGAAACAATGTTCATCCCCAGACAAAATAACTACGTATTGGCAGAACATAACATAAAACACATTAAACTATACCTCAGTTTATACATTATTAAATGCTTAAGCCTCACAAGAAGGCATTAAAATACTATTCCAGAAGACAAAATGTGACAAGAGGAACAAAACAGAATGCCAATGAAGTTAATTCAACTGAAAACCTGTCAAAGCTAAATTTGTCTCAATACCTGGTCAATGGAACCAAATCCAAGTCGTATGTTAGAGAACAAAAAGCAGGAATCCTAATCATAAAAGGAAACAATTGCTTGCAAGTGACAAGAACAGGTCAACAGAAAGCAGAAAATGACACTTCTCACTCATCTGAAGGTGCAGTAGAACCCAGATATGATGTACAACGACACTATAATGATCAGGCAAAACACTACAATGCTCTCAATAATCTGCATAACATTTCAAATTCATCAAAGAAATGACAATAACAAAGTGGCACATATCTGCAGAGAGTGGCTCTGTTCAGCAAACTAGTCACAAGATCAGTCCAAGATGTTGATTCATCTGCAAAATATTTCAACATGTAAAAATTAAAAACATATCTAGGAAAGTCCAATTTAAGGAGAGCAACACACCTAAAAGAAGCATATATACCGTAGAGTGAAATGGCAAGATCAATCCTAGATGTTGATTCATCTGTAAAATATTTCAACAAATAAATATTAAAAAAACATATCTAAGAAAGTCCAATTTAAGAAGAGCAAATTCCACCTAACAGAAGCATATATAACATAGAAGGAAATGTGAGTGAACTGGCAAGATCAATTTGGGTCAACCTAGCAACACCCGGTAGCAAAAGGTAGCATTCCTAACATAGCATTTAAGGAGGAAAAAAAGTTGTATCATTACCTTAAGTTGACTACGTTATTGTTAAATCTTTATTTGCATCTAACGCTGTAGCTCACTAATCCTCCTTAACACTGCCACTCTTAGAGCCAAAACGAAGTGCCTTATTCTCCTCTTGTTCCACATAATTTGATTGGTTACGTACAGTTCTTACTGCTGTATTCTTCTTGTCCACTGCAACACTGCTTTGCACACTAGAAACAGAAGTGCTCTTCGACTTTCTATTTTCTGCAATGCCATGAGCCTGCACTCTCTTATGCGCTGCTGTTATGGACATCACCGAAGGGCCTTCTGGCTTTGGTGCCTTCTTCTTCTTCTTCTTCGGGTTAATGACTTCCAATGAGGCAACCATAGCCTTATCGCCGGATCCAATCAATTCCTTGATTCTCTCCCTCTCCTTCTTGGAGATCAAGAGGGCCCTCTCGAGCATCTCCCTCGCCCTCTTTCTCGCCACCATGGCCTCCTTCACCTTCCTCTCGGCTTCAACCCTGGCGGCAGTTGCCGCCCTGCTCATTGAAGCGACCGCAAGCCGTGCGGCGGCAAACAGCACTTTTGCCGAGTTGAGATCGATCGTCTTTCTCTTTTCCTCGCATGGCGCTACCGAACCCTCTATCGGGACCCCTCCGGCGTCGGCCGAGGTGGAG